CCACATAAAGAATATTGTGCGAGGAGCCTATGCCACGCTCTTTAACTTCAGAATTGCTTTTAAATACATGGATGGCGATATACTAAAGAAATTGTTCACGACTTTTGTTAGGCCAAAGCTAGAATATGCAGCGGTTGTGTGGTGCCCATATCTTAAGAAGCACATCAACAAACTGGAAAAGTGCAAAGACATGCTACTAAGTGGCTCCCAGAACTGAAGGGCAAAAGCTACGAGGAGAGGTTAGGGGCATTAAATATGCCAAAACTAGAAGACAGAAGAAAAAGAGGTGATATGATCACTACATACAAAATAGTAACAGGAATTGATAAAATCGACAGGGAAGATTTCTTGAGACCTGGAACGCTAAGAACAAGAGGTCATAGATATAAACTAGCTAAACACAGATGCCGAAGAAATATAAGAAAATTCACTTTCGCAAACAGAGTGGTAGACGGTTGGAACAAGTTAGGTGAGAAGGTGGTGGAGGCCAAGACCGTCAGTAGTTTCAAAGCTTTATATGACAAAGAGTGCTGGGAAGACGGGACACCACGAGCGTAGCTCTCATCCTGTAACTACACTTAGGTAATTACACTTAGGTAATTACACACACACACACACACACACACACACACACTACACACACACACACACACACACACACACACACACACACACACACACACACACACACACACACACACACACACACACACAGGGGGCCTCGTAGCCTGGTGGATAGCGCGCAGGACTCGTAATTCTGTGGCGCGGGTTCGATTCCCGCACGAGGCAGAAACAAATGGGCAAAGTTTCTTTCACCCTAAGTGCCCCTGTTACCTAGCAGTAAATAGGTACCTGGGAGTTAGTCAGCTGTCACGGGCTGCTTCCTGGGGTATGTGTGTGTGTGTGGTGTGGAAAAAAAAAAAAGTAGTTAGTAAACAGTTGATTGACAGTTGAGAGGCGGGCCGAAAGAGCAAAGCTCAACCCCCGCAAAAACACAACTAGTAAACACACACACACACACACACACACACACACACACACACACACACACACACACACACACACACACACACTACCTACATACAACACACACACACACACACACACACACACACACACACACACACACACTACACTCACACTCACACACACACACACACACACACACACACACACACAACACACAGCTCCCATTGTTGGAAGGGGTTACCCTAGATGAAAGACTATCAGATATAGAGGTGACAGCAGAGGAGGTAATGAAACAGTTGACAACTCTAGATGCAACTAAAGCTGTTGGACCAGACAAAGTATCACCGTGGATACTAAAAGAAGCAGCACAGGCCCTCAGCGTGCCTCTGGCAATGATCTTTAATGAGTCACTTATGTCAGGAGAATTGCCCAGTTGCTGGAAGAAGGCAAATGTCGTGCCGATCTTCAAGAAAGGCGATAGGGAGGCACTTAACTATAGACCTGTATCACTGACAAGCATCCCCTGTAAAATACTGGAAAGAATAATTAGGCTACGACTGGTTGCACACCTGGAGAACGTTAAGTTTGTGAACAAACATCAACATGGGTTCTGGACAGGGAAATCGTGCCTAACAAACCTTCTGGAATTCTATGATAAAATAACGAGGATAAGACAGGACAGAGATGGTTGGGCAGACTGCATATTTCTGGACTGCCAAAAAGCCTTTGATACAGTACCGCACATGAGACTGCTGTTCAAGCTCGAGAGGCAGGCGGGGGTGGGGGGAAAGGTCCTAGCATGGATAAGGAACTACCTAACAGGAAGGAGCCAAAGAGTTACGGTAAGGGGCGAGAAGTCGGACTGGCGAACAGTAACAAGTGGAGTACCACAAGGATCGGTGCTGGGACCAATTCTATTTCTTGTATATGTTAACGACATGTTTACAGGCGTAGAGTCCTACATGTCGATGTTTGCGGATGATGCAAAGTTGATGAGAAGAGTTGTGACAGATGAGGATTGCAGGATCCTCCAAGAGGACCTGAACAGATTGCAGAGATGGTCAGAGAAATGGCTACTAGAATTCAACACGAGCAAATGTAAAGTTATGGAAATGGGCCTAGGAGATAGGAGACCAAAGGGACAGTACACAATGAAGGGGAACAGCCTACCTGTAACGACGCGTGAAAGAGACCTGGGGGTGGACGTAACACCTAATCTATCTCCTGAGGCACATATTAATAGGATAACGACAGCAGCGTACTCTACACTGGCAAAAGTTAGAACATCATTCAGAAACCTTAGTAAGGAGGCATTTAGGGCGCTTTACACTGCCTACGTGAGGCCAGTCTTAGAGTATGCCGCCTCATCATGGAGTCCCCATCTGAAGAAGCATATAATGAAACTGGAAAAGGTTCAGAGGTTTGCAACGAGACTCGTCCCAGAGCTACGACGGATGGGGTATGAGGAGCGCCTGAGGGAACTGTGCCTTACGACACTAGAAGAAGGGAGAGGGGGGACATGATAGGAACGTATAAGATACTCAGAGGGATTGACAGAGTGGACATAGACGAAATGTTCACACGGAATAGTAACAGAACGAGGGGACATGGATGGAAGCTTGAAACTCAGATGAGTCACAGAGATGTTAGGAAGTTTTCTTTTAGCGTGAGAGTAGTGGGAAAATGGAATGCACTTCAGGAACAGGTTGTGGAAGCAAATACTATTCATAATTTTAAAACCAGGTATGATAGGGAAATGGGACAGGAGTCATTGCTGTAAACAACCGATGCTCGAAAGGCGGGATCCAAGAGTCAATGCTCGATCCTGCAGACACAACTAGGTGAGTACACACACACACTACACACACACTACACACACACACACACACACACACACACACACACACACACACACACACACACACACACTACACACACACACACACACACCACACACACACACACACACACACACACACACTACACACACACACACACACACACACACACACACACACACACACACACACACTACACAGTACACAGTACACACCCACACTACACACACACACACACACACACACACACACACACACACACACACACTACACAGTACACACCCACACTACACACACACACACACACACACACACACACACTACACAGTACACACCCACACTACACACACACACACACACACACACACACACACACTACACACACACACACACACACACACACACACACACACTACACAGTACACAGTACACACCCACACTACACACACACACACACTACACAGTACACAGTACACACCCACACTACACACACACACACACACACACACACACACACACACACACACACACACTACACAGTACACACCCACACTACACACACACACACACACACACACACACACACACACACACACACACACACACACACAATAAAAGCTGTGATCATTTAGTGTTTGCGAGTCAGCTTAACGTACACATATTTACATTCCAGCCATATGTCCGCTGGTTCAATGTTTCAGCCCCGGATGTTATTCCAAAAAAATTCTTTGTGAAAAGTACCAAAGCTTTTTATATGTGACCACAACCAACAGGAACGGAAATGTATTTACAAGTTGTAGCATTTACCCGTCTACCCGTCTACTGCTTTATTGCCCGTACCCGTCTATTGCTTTATTACCCGTCTACCCGTCTACTGCTTTATTGCCCGTACCCGTCTACTGCTTTATTGCCCGTACCCGTCTACTGCTTTATTACCCGTCTACCCGTCTACTGCTTTATTGCCCGTACCCGTCTACTGCTTTATTACCCGTCTACCCGTCTACTGCTTTATTACCCGTCTACCCGTCTACTGCTTTATTGCCCGTACCCGTCTACTGCTTTATTGCCCGTACCCGTCTACTGCTTTATTGCCCGTACCCGTCTACTGCTTTATTGCCCGTACCCGTCTACTGCTTTATTGCCCGTACCCGTCTACTGCTTTATTGCCCGTACCCGTCTACTGCTTTATTGCCCGTACCCGTCTACTGCTTTATTGCCCGTACCCGTCTACTGCTTTATTGCCCGTATACCCGTCTACTGCTTTATTGCCCGTACCCGTCTACTGCTTTATTGCCCATATACCCGTCTACTGCTTTATTGCCCGTACCCGTCTACTGCTTTATTGCCCGTACCCGTCTACTGCTTTATTGCCCGTACCCGTCTACTGCTTTATTGCCCGTATACCCGTCTACTGCTTTATTGCCCGTACCCGTCTACTGCTTTATTGCCCGTATACCCGTCTACTGCTTTATTGCCCGTACCCGTCTACTGCTTTATTGCCCGTATACCCGTCTACTGCTTTATTGCCCGTACCCGTCTACTGCTTTATTGCCCGTACCCGTCTACTGCTTTATTGCCCGTACCCGTCTACTGCTCTATTGCCCGTACCCGTCTACTGCTTTATTACCCGTCTGCCCGTCTACTGCTTTATTACCCGTATACCCGTCTACTGCCTTATTACCCGTCTACCCGTCTACTGCTTTATTTCCCGTACCCGTCTACTGCTTTATTACCGGTCTACCCGTCTACTGCTTTATTACTGGTCTACCCGTCTACTGCTTTATTACCCGTCTACCCGTCTACTGCTTTATTACCCGTCTACCCGTCTACTGCTTTATTACCCGTCTACTGCTTTATTACCCGTCTACTGCTTTATTACCCGTCTACTGCTTTATTACCTGTATACCTGTCTACTGCTTTATTACCCGTCTACCCGTCTACTGCTTTATTACCTGTATACCCGTCTACTGCTTTATTACGCATATACCTGTCTACTTCTTTGCTTCCCATACCCGTCTACTACTACAGAATGCTCACACAACTACTGCTTTATTACCCGTAGTCACCTACCTCTTTACTACTCATACCCATCTACTTATTTACCACCTGAGTCCCTCTTCTCCTTTACTATCTTTTCTCGTTCCCGTCTTTACTACCCATACCCGACTTCCACTTTTAAACCCAATTCCTCAGTCACCACCAAAGGTCCTCAGTCGCCACCAAAGGTCCTCAGTCGCCACCAAAGGTCCTCAGTCGCCACCAAAGGTCCTCAGTCGCCACCAAAGGTCCTCAGTCACCACCAAAGGTCCACAGTCACCACAAAAGGTCCTCAGTCACCACCAAAGGTCCTCAGTCACCACCAAAAGTTCTCAGTCACCACCAAAGGTCCTCAGTCGCCATCAAAGGTCCTCAGTCGCCACCAAAGGTCCTCAGTCACCACCAAAGGTCCTCAGTCACCACCAAAGGTCCTCAGTCACCACCAAAAGTTCTCAGTCGCCACCAAAGGTCCTCAGTCGCCATCAAAGGTCCTCAGTCGCCACCAAAGGTCCTCAGTCGCCACCAAAGGTCCTCAGTCGCCACCAAAGGTCCTCAGTCGCCACCAAAGGTCCTCAGTCACCACCAAAGGTCCACAGTCACCACAAAAGGTCCTCAGTCACCACCAAAGGTCCTCAGTCACCACCAAAAGTTCTCAGTCACCACCAAAGGTCCTCAGTCACCACCAAAGGTCCTCAGTCGCCACCAAAGGTCCTCAGTCGCCACCAAAGGTCCTCAGTCGCCACCAAAGGTCCTCAGTCGCCACCAAAGGTCCTCAGTCGCCACCAAAGGTCCTCAGTCGCCACCAAAGGTCCTCAGTCGCCATCAAAGGTCCTCAGTCGCCACCAAAGGTCCTCAGTCGCCACCAAAGGTCCTCAGTCGCCACCAAAGGTCCTCGGTCGCCACCAAAGGTCCTCGGTCACCACCAAAGGTCCTCGGTCACCACCAAGGTCCTCGGTCACCACCAAAGGTCCTCAGTCGCCACCAAAGGTCCTCGGTCACCACCAAAGGTCCTCAGTCGCCACCAAAGGTCCTCAGTCACCACCAAAGGTCCTCAGTCACCACCAAAGGTCCTCAGTCACCACCAAAGGTCCTCAGTCACCACCAAAGGTCCTCAGTCACCACCAAAGGTCCTCGGTCACCACCAAAGGTCCTCGGTCACCACCAAAGGTCCTCGGTCACCACCAAAGGTCCTCGGTCACCACCAAAGGTCCTCGGTCACCACCAAAGGTCCTCGGTCACCACCAAAGGTCCTCAGTCACCACCAAAGGTCCTCAGTCACCACCAAAGGTCCTCAGTCACCACCAAAGGTCCTCAGTCACCACCAAAGGTCCTCAGTCACCACCAAAGGTCCTCAGTCACCACCAAAGGTCCTCAGTCACCACCAAAGGTCCTCAGTCACCACCATAGGTCCTCAGTCACCACCATAGGTCCTCAGTCACCACCCTCAGTCACCACCAAAGGTGCTCAGTCACCACCAAAGGTCCTCAGTCACCACCAAAGGTCCTCAGTCACCACCAAAGGTCCTCAGTCACCACCAAAGGTCCTCAGTCACCACCAAAGGTCCTCAGTCGCCACCAAAGGTCCTCAGTCACCACCAAAGGTCCTCCAAAAGGTCCTCAGTCACCACCAAGGTCCTCAGTCACCACCAAAGGTCCAGTCACCACCAGGTGCTCAGTCACCACCAAAGGTCCTCAGTCACCACCAAAGGTCCTCAGTCACCACCAAAGGTCCTCGGTCACCACCAAAGGTCCTCGGTCACCACCAAAGGTCCTCGGTCACCACCAAAGGTCCTCAGTCACCACCAAAGGTCCTCAGTCACCACCAAAGGTCCTCAGTCACCACCAAAGGTCCTCAGTCACCACCAAAGGTCCTCAGTCACCACCAAAGGTCCTCAGTCACCACCAAAGGTCCTCAGTCACCACCATAGGTCCTCAGTCACCACCAAAGGTCCTCAGTCACCACCAAAGGTGCTCAGTCACCACCAAAGGTCCTCAGTCACCACCAAAGGTCCTCAGTCACCACCAAAGGTCCTCAGTCACCACCAAAGGTCCTCAGTCACCACCAAAGGTCCTCAGTCGCCACCAAAGGTCCTCAGTCACCACCAAAGGTCCTCAGTCACCACCAAAGGTCCTCAGTCACCACCAAATTGTGTTTATTTCCGTGCGGGTTGTTGGTCGGGTCGTCCACCAGGTGTGTGTTGGTCGGGTCGTCCACCAGGTGTGTGTTGGTCGGGTCGTCCACCAGGTGTGTGTTGGTCGGGTCGTCCACCAGGTGTGTGTTGGTCGGGTCGTCCACCAGATGTGTGTTGGTCGGGTCGTCCACCAGGTGTGTGTTGGTCGGGTCGTCCACCAGGTGTGTGTTGGTCGGGTCGTCCACCAGGTGTGTGTTGGTCGGGTCGTCCACCAGGTGTGTGTTGGTCGGGTCGTCCACCAGGTGTGTGTTGGTCGGGTCGTCCACCAGGTGTGTGTTGGTCGGGTCGTCCACCAGGTGTGTGTTCGTCGGGTCGTCCACCAGCTAGGTGTGTGTTGGTCGGGTCGTCCACCAGGTGTGTGTTTGGTCGGGGTCGTCCACCAGGTGTGTGTTGGTCGGGTCGTCCACCAGGTGTGTGTTGGTCGGGTCGTCCACCAGGTGTGTGTTGGTCGGGTCGTCCACCAGGTGTGTGTTGGTCGGGTCGTCCACCAGGTGTGTGTTGGTCGGGTCGTCCACCAGGTGTGTGTTGGTCGGGTCGTCCACCAGGTGTGTGTTGGTCGGGTCGTCCACCAGGTGTGTGTTGGTCGGGTCGTCCACCAGGTGTGTGTTGGTCGGGTCGTCCACCAGGTGTGTGTTGGTCGGGTCGTCCACCAGGTGTGTGTTGGTCGGGTCGTCCACCAGGTGTGTGTTGGTCGGGTCGTCCACCAGGTGTGTGTTGGTCGGGTCGTCCACCAGGTGTGTGTTGGTCGGGTCGTCCACCAGGTGTGTGTTGGTCGGGTCGTCCACCAGGTGTGTGTTGGTCGGGTCGTCCACCAGGTGTGTGTTGGTCGGGTCGTCCACCAGGTGTGTGTTGGTCGGGTCGTCCACCAGGTGTGTGTTGGTCGGGTCGTCCACCAGGTGTGTGTTGGTCGGGTCGTCCACCAGGTGTGTGTTGGAGGTGGCTGTGTCTTGAAGAAGTTGTCGTCATAGTGGAGGTGGCTCCCTGGCTGTGTCACGTCTGGGTACCCTCTTACCCTCACCTAGTTGTGCTTGCGGGGGTTGAGCTCTGGCTCTTTGGTCCCGCCTCTCAACTGTCAATCAACTGGTGTACAGGTTCCTGAGCCTACTGGGCTCTATCATATCTACACTTGAAACTGTGTATGGAGTCAGCCTCCACCACATCACTGCCTAGTGCATTCCATCCGTTAACTACTCTGACACTGAAAAAAGTTCTTTCTAACGTCTCTGTGGCTCATTTGGGTACTCAGTCTCCACCTGTGTCCCCTTGTTCGCGTCCCACCAGTGTAAAAAGCTCGTCTTTGTCCACCCTGTCAATTCCTCTGAGAATCTTGTAGGTGGTGATCATGTCTCCCATTGTTCTCCATCTCTTGTACGTGAGGTTTAATTCCTGTAGCCTTGACTTGTAACTCGTACCTATCAGTACTGGGACCAGTCTGGTGGCATAGCTCTGAATCTTCTCCAACTTTGTCTTGTGTTTAACTAGATATGGACTCCAGACTGGAGCTGCATATGCCAGGATTGGTCTGACATAAGTTGTATTGAGGGTCTTAAAAGGGTCTTTACACAAGTTTCTAAAGGCAGTTTTTATGTCGGCTAATCTAGCATATGCCGCTGATGATAACCTTTTGATGTGAGCTTTTGGGGACAGGTTCGGTGTGATATCTTAATTAAGATTCAGGACCTGCCCGAAACCCTGCGCGAGCTAGATGCTTTACAAGAATGTAAGAACTCCTGTATATATTAACAACAAAGTGTCAACCCCCAGATCTTTCTTTCAACTTGACTTAGCAAGTATTTCACCTCCCAGATGGTACCTTGTGTTCAGCCTCCTGATCCCTTCACCTAATTTCATTACTTTACACTTGAGTTAAACTTTAGTTGCCACTTACTAGACCATTCTAGAAACTTTAAAATCTTTATTAGGTTATAGTTAGTAGCTACAACCTTAACCTTTCGTAGACAATATCTCGACCATTCCTCCAGGTCGTCCAGTAGTCTCTGTCGATCTTCATCTGTCTTGATTCTTCTCAAAATTTATGCCGATGATCAAAAATTATGAGAAGAATTTTGAACAGAACAGAGGAAGATAGACAGACAGAAGGATGAACAGAGGAAGACAGAGACTACAGAACGACTTGTGGGGCGTGGAAGGCACTAGTATACTAGCATACTATTGGAGTCTCTCCTTGCTCCTGTCACCGGGTATATCATCCTTGTGTCAGCCGTCAGATATACTCTCCTGACGGCTGCGTCTGGTGGTATACTGCCCTCACATCCAGAGAAGAAAGATGCGCGGGTTCGAATCCTACTCCTGATTCCTTCTGATTGTCTCTTATCCCATCTACTCAGAGGAGTGAGCACGGGGCCCAGGGGCTGAAGCACTACCCTTAAATATTGCACCTAGCCAGGAGGCACAACGCCACCTGTTGATTACATTGACTAATCAACAGTGCAAAGTTAAACTAAAAAAACTATTCAATTCATAATAAAGTGATGCAAATCAGAGTTACAACATCACCCCCTTGCACAATGATGCCACCCCCCCCTGGCCCCCCCTCAACCCCCCCCTGGCCCCGCTCAACCCCCTGACACTCAGAGGACAGGGGCATTACCCTTTACTACCATCAACTACCAGACGCCCCGTCCTCATCTTTACTACCATCAACCACCAGTCTTCTTTACTACCATCAACCACCAGTCCTCCTCTTTACTACCATCAACCACCAGTCCTCCACTTTACTACCATCAACCACCAGTTCTCCTCTTTACTACCACCAACCACCAGTCCTCCTCTTTACTACCACCAACCACCAGTCCTCCTCTTTACTACCATCAACCACCAGTCCTCCACTTTACTACCACCAACCACCAGTCCTCCTCTTTACTACCATCAACCACCAGTCCTCCACTTTACTACCATCAACCACCAGTCCTCTTTACTACCACCAACCACCAGTCCTCCTCTTTACTACCATCAACCACCAGTCCTCCACTTTACTACCATCAACCACCAGTCCTCCTCTTTACTACCACCAACCACCAGTCCTCCTCTTTACTACCACCAACCACCAGTCCTCCTCTTTACTACCACCAACCACCAGTCCTCCACTTTACTACCATCAACCACCAGTCCTCTTTACTACCATCAACCACCAGTCCTCCTCTTTACTACCATCAACCACCAGTCCTCCACTTTACTACCACCAACCACCAGTCCTCCTCTTTACTACCATCAACCACCAGTCCTCCACTTTACTACCACCAACCACCAGTCCTCCTCTTTACTACCATCAACCACCAGTCCTCCACTTTACTACCACCAACCACCAGTCCTCCTCTTTACTACCATCAACCACCAGTCCTCCACTTTACTACCACCAACCACCAGTCCTCCTCTTTACTACCACCAACCACCAGTCCTCCTCTTTACTACCACCAACCACCAGTCCTCCTCTTTACTACCACCAACCACCAGTCCCCCACTTTACTACCACCAACCACCAGTCCTCCTCTTTACTACCATCAACCACCAGTCCCCCACTTTACTACCACCAACCACCAGTCCTCCTCTTTACTACCACCAACCACCAGTCCTCCACTTTACTACCACCAACCACCAGTCCTCCGCTTTACTACCACCAACCACCAGTCCTCCACTTTACTACCACCAACCACCAGTCCTCCACTTTACTACCACCAACCACCAGTCCTCCACTTTACTACCACCAACCACCAGTCCTCCTCTTTACTACCACCAACCACCAGTCCTCCACTTTACTACCACCAACCACCAGTCCTCCTCTTTACTACCACCAACCACCAGTCCTCCACTTTACTACCACCAACCACCAGTCCTCCACTTTACTACCACCAACCACCAGTCCTCCTCTTTACTACCACCAACCACCAGTCCTCCTCTTTACTACCACCAACCACCAGTCCTCCACTTTACTACCACCAACCACCAGTCCTCCACTTTACTACCACCAACCACCAGTCCTCCACTTTACTACCACCAACCACCAGTCCTCCACTTTACTACCACCAACCACCAGTCCTCCACTTTACTACCACCAACCACCAGTCCTCCACTTTACTACCACCAACCACCAGTCCTCCACTTTACTACCACCAACCACCAGTCCTCCACTTTACTACCACCAACCACCAGTCCTCCTCTTTACTACCACCAACCACCAGTCCTCCTCTTTACTACCACCAACCACCAGTCCTCCACTTTACTACCCTGAGATGTTAGTGTGACTGGTAATTAATGTACTGTCATTTTTTAAGGCAAACTTTGCCAATTATAAATGTGCAACATATATGTATAAAGTTTTTCATCAGAGTTAACACCAGCCATTATTTCTCCCTTAGCCCCTTATGGTCCCTTACCTTGCTCTCCCTTAGCCCCTTATGGTCCTTACCTTGCTCTCCCTTAGCCCCTTATGGTCCCTTAACTTGCTCTCCCTTAGCCCCTTATGGTCCCTTAACTTGCTCTCCCTTAGCCCCTTATGGTCCCTTAACTTGCTCTACCTTAGCCCCTTATGGTCCCTTAACTTGCTCTCCCTTAGCCCCTTATTGTCCCTTAACTTGCTCTCCCTTAGCCCCTTATGGTCCCTTAACTTGCTCTCCCTTAGCCCCTTATGGTCCTTACCTTGCTCTCCCTTAGCCCCT